CTACTACTACTACTACTACTACTACTACTACGTACGTACGTACCGTACCTACCGTACCTACCTACCTACTACTACGTACTAGTACTATGTACGTCTCTCTCTCTCTCTCTCTCTCTCTCTCTCTCTCTCTCTCTCTCTCTCTCTCTCTCTCTCTCTCTCTCTCTCTCTCTCTCTCTCTCTCTCTCTCTCTCCCCCCCCCCCCCTCCTACCCCTACCCCTAACCCCGATTTTCAATACATATGATTAATTTCCGCTTTTGTATTGGTTTGGAACATTCATTACACGAAATGATTAATTGCTGCATTTGCATTGGTTTGGAACATGGTAAACAACAAAGAACAATAGGCTAAACAGCTGGAATATTAGAAGAACAATAGGCTAAACAAATGGAATATTAGGCATGAATAATATAATACAGAATATAAGCAAAGGATAAAATAGTTCCAGACATGCAACTGATGATCTACAGACAAAAACTTTAAGTTACACTGAAATTTATAGAACATACATAATAGTGCTCAGAAATTATTAGTCCAGCTTGTTTTTGGAAAGGAATCAGCAGTTTGGGCAATTGAAAGAAAGAGACAAGGCAGGTCATATTTCCACAAAATGGTAATAGAAGACTCTTGAAAAGCATGTTCAAATAGAAATTAAAAACAGATAACATGATTGTGGATACTTCTATACGGATAGAAATAAAAGTTACCCCAAGTTAAGGGGAAAAAACCATAAGATTGGGAAAGAAAACAAAGATAATCAATGTAGTTTAAACATAAAATCAGGGTAAAAGAAGAGCCACCGATCTAAACTCTCCAGTTGCCTGCTCAGGAAGGGAATCCACCTCAGAAAGATTCTCAACATACATAAGAAAAGGATTAGATTCCCCTCTCAAAATGATAGGTACCCTTGTGGCTGACTTTAGAGAATTAGAGTATGGATTGCTAGCATTGGAGAAGAATGTCCCAGCTAGTGTAGTAAACATATGAGAGTATGAGTAATATGTATGCCCATTTGCATGTACAGTGTTGGCATTTCTGTAGATAATCTTTTGCAAGGTCGCTTATAGAAATTCGGCAGCTGAGTTAGTTAACAACTTCAGTTTATCCAAAGAAGTAAAAAACTTGAAGACCAACAAGCAAATAGATCACAGAAACGCAATGTACTCAAAACTCAAGAAAACAGAAAGTATGAGAACACAAATCGAAATTACAAAAGTTCAGATAAACTGCTAACAAATGAAAAATGAAAGACATTTGAAGCAATCACCACCTTTTAGCTAATCAAGTCTAGACAAAATCACATAAAAAGGATGTGTAAGAAAACCCAGCAGCTTTAAGAAAAAAGACAGGCTCACCTCGATAGCAACACCATCTGGAGATGCACATGCACGCTCGATTCTAATGCCCCCGGGATCTTCTTTTGCCACTACCTTAATCATATAGGTGGTGTTGGGGAGAAGTACTCTAAGACGATAAAACCCCAAGGAGTCCGATGATGTTACTTCATAATAGCCTTTTGACTGAGATTTGGCTTCAACAAAAACACCTTCCTTCGGCTGGCCAGAGAGGAATCAAATGGTACCCGTTGCACTAGATGTAGTAAAACTTGTTTGAAAGCCAGATACTGTAACTGTACCTGTAAAAGCTCAATCCTTCCCAAGTCTGATGCTAAAGAGACATTCAGTATGACTATAAAGAATAACAGTCTAAGTCCCAGCGGACACCTATATTAGGCTCAATTCAATTTGAGAAAAACCCTGGCAACAAAAAAAAAAGCATGGAACCAACAACCAGAAAAATCGTTGGGCTCCCTGACAACATAAAGAAGAATGATCAAAAGAAAGACAATATGGAAAAGGAGCTCACATAAGGAAATGGAAATGGAAGATTATGAAAACAAATGAAAGACTGTGCAATAGCAGCAAAAAATAAATAAAGATTTAAAACTCTGTGTTGAATGGTGATAGAAAAGTTCTTTTGTCTTTTACCATTTGTTTGGGGGCTTTTTTGTCACTACAATTAGCTGGCTTGTATAAAAGCCAAAAGGGGATTTTGGGTTATACAATTCTTCTTGTTTTGAACTCCTCTCTCTCTCTAGAAGAGGGGCTAGGGCTTCCTTGGGTTATGTTGAGAAATGGAAAGAGGTAAAAAAGGATTTTCTTGTCTTATTTTTGGAAAAAATAGTATGAGCATGTATGGCTCATGTTCTTGGGTCATTTGAAGTGAAGCGGGGTAAATCATGATTTTTGAATAATCACAAGAAGGTATTCTTGGTGATGTTTTTTTCACCAATTTTTTCCTTTTGAGATAACATTGTATCCCCTTGTAAATTCCTTCTTTTGATAGTGGAATACTTGCCGGCTTGCCCGTAGACGTAGCCCTAAGGGGTGAACCACATTAAATTCGTGTTATGGTTTGTCTCTCTAATTTTCTCTCATGACCATGTTTTCCATCTCTAATTTATTGTCTTAAATTGTTGCACACGATCCTTGAGCTTATTATTGGATTATCGATTTTACATATTTGGTATTGAGTGTGTGATATTCAATGATCGGTTAAATTGTGGGTTTCGGGTATTCGGATCTCCAACAAGTGGTATCAAAGCCGTAGGTTTTATGCAATATATTTTATAGAATGGCGAGTAATCGGTTTGAGGTGGAGAAATTTGATGGACAAAATGATTTTGAGATATGAAAAATTCAAGTTCATGATCTTTTGGTCCAACAAGGATTATACAAAACATTACTCGAAAAGGAAAAGAAACCAGAGTCTATGAGAAATGAGGATTGAGAGGAACTGGACCTTAAGGCTATGGCTACAATTCGATTGTGCTTAGCAAATAAAGTTTTATTCAATATAGTGGGAGAGAAGATGGCAAAGGGCTTGTGGGAGAAACTGGAAAGTGTTTATCAAAACAAATCTCTTACGAACCGTATTCTATTAAAGAGAAAATTATTTAGTTTAAGGATGAAAGAGGGGACAAAAGTTTCCGATCATTTGAACACTTTCAATAACATTATTTGTGAACTTGATAGTGTTAGTGAAAAAATAAAAGCTGAGGACAAGGCGATAATATTGTTATGTACTTTACCGGAATCATATGATAATTTAGTGACAACATTAAGTTGCATTAAATAAGATTCACTTGACTTAAGTATGGTGACTAGTACTTTGCTTGCCTATGAACTCCGAAAAAAGGCATCTATTGGAGAACTGGAATCGGAAGTGTTCAAATGAGAGAGGTAATTCCTCTTGAAATTCTTCTAGATCTAAGTCGAAAGGTTGATCTAAGTCTAAAGGCCGAGAAAACAAGTTTGTTTCTTGGGGATGTGGTGAAGAGGGACACATGCAGAAAAATTGTACAAAAAGAAAATGACAAAAGTTCGAAAAAGCAAGGGAAACTAACGAGTCCAAAATTGAGGTGAATCAAGTGGAGGAATCTACATCCGGTTTTTTGAAGAAGAGGTTTATGTCGTGGGTTGTAATCCCGAATTCCATCAAAATTGGATTTTGGATAGTGGTGCTACACATCATATGTGTCCACACAAGTCATGGTTTAGTTCATATGAACCATGTGATGGTGGCTCCGGGTTGATGGGAAACAATTCAAGTAATAGAATGGTTGGGATTGGCATGCTGAAATTAAGTATGTATGATGGAAGTATCCGCACACTTGAGCATGTTCGACATGTGCCGGACTTGAAGAAAAGTTTAATTTTTCTTTCTTTATTGGATTCTCATGGCTATAAATTCACCAAACAAGGGGGAGTTCTCAAAGTATCTAAGGGTGCTCTTGTTGTGATCAAGGGTGTTAGAGTTGGGAACTTGTATAAGGTATTGGGAAGCTCCATTGTTGATTATACGGCAAATTCGATAGTGAAGAGTAATGATCTTCCACTAAGCTTATGGTATAGGAGGTTGGGCCACTTGAGTGCAAAGGGTATGGAGATTTTGATGAAAAAAACGCTAATTCCTATCACAAAATTTGGAAAATCTGAATTTTGTTAACATTGTGTCTATACAAATTTTCAAAGCCGGAAGCCATACAAGTAAGGGAATACTTGATTATATTCACTCGGATTTATGGGGGCCCTCACCTATATTGCCATATGGTGGTGCATAGTATTTTATTTCTTTTATAGATGACTTCTCAAGGAAGGTACGGGTGTTAACTCTTAAATTAAAGAGTGATGCATTTTTGGCCTTAAAGCATTTTAAAACCGAAGTTGAGAAGAGTACGGGGCGCCAATTTTGTAAAGCATTTTAAAACCGAAGTTGAGAAGAGTACGGGGCGCCAATTTTGTAAAATACTTCGCATTGACAATTTGAAGGAGTACAATTCCGATAAGTTTACAAAATTTGTAAAGATGAAGGAATCAAGAAGCATTTTACCACGGTTTACACTCTCCAACAAAATGGTGCTGCGGAAAAGATAAATTGCACTTTGATGGAGCGAGCAAGAAGCATGTTGAGCAATGCCGGATTGGAGCAAGAGCTATGGGCCGAAGCCGTGATGACGGCTTGTTATCTCATCAATCGATTACCTTAAGCGGCTTTGGGGGAGAAAACACCCCAAGAGGTATTGTCCGAACTCCTTGTGATCATTCCGATTTAAAGATTTTTTGTTATGATACTTATATTTTAATCCCTAGTTGCCAAAGAAATAAGCTTGAACCAAAATCAAAATAAATGCATTTTTGTTGGGTATAGCAAAGGTGTGAAATGATACCGGTTATGGGATTCAAGTGCTCGAAAGATAATTACAAGCCGAGATGTGCATTTTGATGAGTCATCCGTGTTGACAAGAGGTGTAGGAAATGAGACCAAAGAAAGAGAAGAATCTCATAATGAAACCCAAGAAATTTTTTCAACCTTATCTCCCATCATTTAGTGAACCCCATATGCCGGAAGAAGCACCCACAAGTATCAATGAAAAAGTCAATGATGAAGAAGAGCAAGTTGGTGAACAAAGTGATTCTCATGAAGAAGTTGCACCATCCATGATAAGAAGATCTACAAGGGTAGTTCGTCCACCCGAGCGGCTTAAGGACTATGTGGATCCCGAAGTACTATATGCTTTAATTCTTATGAACGAAAAACCGAGCACTTACCAAGAAGCTATGTAAGGAGATGATTCCATATCTTGGAAGAAGGCCATGGAAGATGAAATGATGGCTATTCATAAGAACAAGACTTGGGATTTGGTAGAGTTGTCAAAGGACAGAAAAGCGGTTGGTTGCAAGTGGGTGATTGATGGAAGTTTGGCAAGGTATAGGGCAAGGCTAGTTGTAAAGGGGTTTGCACAAAAGGAAAGTGTGGACTTTCTTGAAATATTTGCCCCGGTGGTCAAGTTAGACTCCATAAGGTTGGTGCTTGGGCTTGTTGCATTGCATGATTTGGAACTTGAACAATGGATGTAAAAACGCTATTTTTACATGGTGAACTTGAAGAAGTGTACATGCAACAACCGGAAGGATTTCTTAAAAAAAGAAAAGAAAGGTTAGTGTGCAAGTTGAAGAAATCCATATATGGACTCATGCAAGCATCAAAAAAATGGTACAAGACTTTTGACATGTTCATGATTGGTCTTGGATACCATAGGAGTGGTTATGACCATTATGCTTATTGAAGTTTTTTTATGATGGTTCTTATTTAATCTTAGTCTTGTATATTGATATGCTTTTGGGATGGAAGGAAAAGACTAGGATTGATGAGCTCAAGGCATCTTTGAGCAAGAGTTTTGAAATGAAAGATCTCGGCCCGGTAAAACAAATGCTTGGAATTGAAATCCAAAGAGATCGATGGAGTGGGCGTGGAAAATATGCTTGAAAAGTTTGACACGAGCAAGACAAAGCCGGTGAAGACTCCATTAGCTCCTCATTTTAAGTTGTCTTCCAAGAAAAATCAGAAGACCGCGGATGAAAAAGAGAATATGGCTAAGGTGCCATATGCAAGTGTTGTGGGAAGCCTAATGTTTGCCATGGTGTGTACCAAACCGGACATAGCATATTCGATAGGTGTCTTGAGTCATTTTACGACAAATCTCGGAAAAGCTCATTGGGAAGGTAAAAATGGGTGCTTTATTATTTGAGAGGCACGAGTGATTATGCCATGACATTTACCAAAGGCTCGGGGCACATTCAAGGCTATGTTGATGCAAATTATGCCGGTGATCTTGATAGAGGAAGATCAACGACCGGCTATGTTTTCAAGTTTGGAAATGGACCGGTAAGTTGGATGTCTAAGCTTCAATCAACGGTGACATTGCCTACCACTGAGGCGGAATACATGGTGGCAACTGAAGCAAGCAAAGAAGCAATTTGGCTTCTAGGCCTTTAGAGAGAATTGGGTATCAATTCTAAGCCCATAGACCATCATGTTCGACAAGTTGTTGAAGATGGTTTGGTTCGGTTGGTGGAAGTTTGAACCAAGGAAAATGTAACGGATATGCTCATGAAGACGGTTCCAGTAGAGAAGTTCGAATGAAGCCTAATTTCTCTAAGCTTCATGAAGAAGTAAAAAAGGATTATCGGTACGGCATATAGGTGATTTACTATCAAGGTGGAGATTGTTGAATGGTGATAGAAAAATCACCTTTTGGATGCTTTGGTCTTTTACCATTTGTTTGGGGCCTTTTTTGTCACTACAATTAGCTGGCTTGTATAAAAGGCAAAATGGGATTTTTGGGTTATACGATTCTTCTTGGTTTGAACTCCTCTCTCTCGAGAAAATGGGCTAGGGCTTCCTTTGGTTATGTTGAGAAGGGAAGGCGGTGAAGAAGGATTTTCTCGTCCTATTTTTGGGAGAAATAGTATGAGCTTGTGTTGCTCATGTTCTTCGGTCATTCGAAGTGAAGCGAGGTAAATTGTGATTTTTGAATGATCACAAGAAGGTATTCAGTGATTTTTTATCACAAATTTTCTCCTTTTGATGTAACATTGTATCCCCTTGTAAATTCCTTCTTTTGATAGTGGAATACTTGTCGGCTTGCCTGTGGACGTAGCCCTAGGGGGTGAACCACGTTAAATTCGTGTTGTGGTTTGCCTCTCTAATTTTCTTTCATGACTATGCTTTCCATCTCTAATTTATTGTCTTAAATTGTTGCACACGATCCTTGAGCTTATTATTGGATTATCGATTTTACATATTTGGTACTGAGTGTGTGATATTCAATGATCGGTTAAATTGGGGTTTCGGGTATTCAAATCTCCAACACTCTGTAAATTAATTATAGAATTTGGGAGTTTTGAAGGCTATTTATGAGAGTCTGTGTGTGTGTGTGTGAGAGAGAGAGAGAGAGAGAGAGAGAGAGAGAGAGAGAGAGAGAAAGAGAGAGAAAGAGAGTATTATGGTGTTTAATCTAACAAAGATAGAATCTATAGAAAACCCAACTCCAAGAGGAAATGACGTACCCAAAGAAAAAAAAATTGTTACCTGAACAAATAGTTGCCAATTATAATGAAGATGCTCTCTCTTGTTGCTTCTTGTGCGAGAAAGAAAGGGTTTTAGGGTTTGAAAAAATTGGTGGCTGGGAGAGGAGAGAGATCAACGGATGAGGAGAGAGAAAATTGGGGAAATAACAAGAAGAGGCGATGGGAGAGAAGAGAGAAGAAAGAGAGATTTAGAGAAAGAAGAGATAAATTACCTGTTAGAGCAAGTAATTTCCACTTCATATCTTGTGTACCCTAGTTTTAGAGACAGAATCCCCTTCAATCCTAGTCTTAGAGATAGACTCCCTTTTGAATGCTTTACCCTCGTTTTTTGTTCTCCTGCCGGACTTTACTGAGAGAGAGAGAGAGAGAGAGTATTTTGAAAAGGTCCGGAAGTTATCAGGGGTTTTATTGCTAAGGCCGCATATGTAGAAATGTGGGCCTCTTAATAAAGCTATTTTTGAGATGGAATTTAGGACTTAATATTTAAGGACATGTAATCTCTAACATGGAGATCATGAATATGAAAAAATAAATAAATTTTAAAAACTTAAAAAAATAATTCTAATTAAAAAACATTTGGACCGCTAGTTTCCATTGTTTTTAGATGGAACACCCACTTACATCCATCTTTAAGATGGATGCTTTACACTTTCTAGACTGCAGACTGCATATGTAGAAATGCGGTCCAACCTGCATGAAACAATTTTCCATATATATAAGAAAATGGTTTGATAGGGATGCAGCCCTATCAAAATAAGTAAAGCCTTACCTTAGAACTCATAGAAAATTGCATTCCAAGCATTGGAAAACCTTTACATCGATCGTCTCGGCTTCAACATTATGGTTGTAAAAAAAAAAGGATTTCAAGCTCTAAAAATAGTGTATATTTTAACAAATTGTCTAGACCATCCCTTTCGCCCTAAAATTAAGTGTCTAAAGATCCACAAGATGTACATGTTTTTAGTTTCAAATTTTTTTACTGGTGTTGGAAATTGATTTTAGTACCATCATGGAGATTTTCTTTACCGAAGTGCTTTCCAAACAAGGATTTGAGGTGAGGCTGTATTTGGTTATATATATATATATATGGAAAAGTCTTGGACCATAGGCTCATCTCCGTTCGAAAAAACCGGGCGGCATGTGTTTTTCGACCGCCACGGACCTAGCATGTCCGTGGCAATACCATCACGGACATACTAGGTCTGTGGTGGTCAAAAAATCATGCGGAACCGCCATGGACAATGCCGTCCGTTGCGAGTCCGTTCAATAAACCGCCTCAGGCATAGCACGTCTGTGGCAGTGGCAAAACACTGTAGCATTTCGTGTGTGTGTGTGTGCGTACGTGCACGTGCGTGTCTGTGTGTGTTAGATACGTTTAGATTGGGTCTGGATCGGGTCGACTTGGACTTAGACCCGACACATCCAACTCCGATCCAGGGTTTTGGACCCAAAGCCGACCCACCAGGTCCAAAACTTGAACCCATACCCAGATTGGGATCGGGTTGACCCGACGACCGACTCAATTTCCACGCCTACCTGAATGGTCTATTTATTTTTTCTTGAACTTGTGAAATTTCAAGATAATTTTATTGGTTATCATACATCTGTTATTGTCCCAAATCATGGTGACATCCAATTCTGATTGGTTTCACTTCATTGCTACTGTATCTGGTTTGCTTATGGGGTTGAAGTATTTATCTCTTGATTTTTGCTATTCATTGCATCTAATAGGCGGCCTGGGCTAGTCCGGTCCTAAAAAAGTAGGGTTTGGGCCACAAAATGTGGCCCGAGGGCAGGCCATCACCGCCTGAGAGCGGGACTAGGGCCAGGCTGGCCCAACCATCTTTTTTTCTTGTTTTCTATTATTTTCTTCATTTGTTTTTGGTAGGTCTGGGCCTTGGCCGGCATCGGGCTTAGGCTGGCCCTATGTGGACAAGGGCCAGGCTGTGCATGTTGCCACTCTTAATAGTAACAAGTGTTTCGGTGCGATGGCTAGGGAGGTGAGATGGCCAGTGAAGTCTATCTGACATTTGTAAGGCCTTGAAAAGTAAAAAGTAAGAGATCGTGGAAGCTACACCGATAGTAAGACTTTGCAGGCTCATTGGCATACATACAATCAGGATATGTATGATCAAAAACAAAATTTTTCAACTAATAACCAACTTATGCACCAAAATAAGATCATCTAAGACCTCCCATGAGAACCCTCAAGAATAATGCCATGCCTAATAGATATACAAGGAATGGTTTCTGGTTGAAATTGCTCCGACTGAAAGATAGGAAGCCTCTTCTCTCCATGATTCAGGTATGAGGATTGGAACAAAATGTTTTAAGGTTCAAATCCTAGCTCACCCAAAAAAAAAAGAACCCTAGGTTAAATTAAATAAAAATGGTATAAAATAAGCATGCAGAGAACAGAAAGTACCCATAATTACAATGGTAAGGCAAAACACGCAAGGGAAGAAGATACACAACCAATGGCACATCCAAAGAAAGGTTCAGACCTTGCTAGTAAACATAATGGATGAATTAGAAATGGCAACTTGTTGATGCTTCTGTTTTGAAACTTCAACCACTTTCAGTAAAATAAACACACACATTTTGGCATGCACACCGACACATGTTTCATGTGTGTGTGTGTGAAGTAAAGGAATACTTCTCTCTTGTGCCTTAGATTATAACACCACATAACTTGCTTCTAATCAACCATGTGTACCACATGATAGAGAAAGCACAAAAAATGAGATGCCTTGGTCCCACACATTGAACTGAACAACAGCTAGAAGAAAAGAAAAATGTCTACTACTGTTTCTAGGGGGAAAGAGAAATATGCTGATTTGTAGGGACTATCATATATTGAGGCAACTTTGTTCTCCACAAAAAGGTTATGCATGTGGAAAGGATATTCACTGAAGAAAAGTTCATTTGGCATCTGCGTACTAAAAGTTTCAGTGTGTATTAAAACACATATCCCCAACAGAAGATCGCCAAATGATGTAAGTACCAGTGTCAAACAACAACTATCGAATCACAAGCATTTACCAAGTAAGACCATAATAAGGAACAAGATCCATAGATATATCTTCCTGATCATATTCAGTAAATACACCTACACACTTGGCTAGATGACTAGAAACCCAAGAATCAAGATAAAACAAAATCTCATGAGAATACCAGAGATTTGGTAAGATATGGACCCAACAACTAATTCTGATATTACAAGTTGAAATTATTATACCAAGAAGGAGGGACACTTTCTCATAACAAAGTAGGTACAAGAGACATGCCAAGAATTTATCCTCATGGCAACTACCACAGAGAAATTCAAAGAAGAAGAAGTAGATAGGAGGAGAAGGGTTTATATAAAATGCCAAACAAAGCATTGTTGGATGCCGAACGGTCTGGGAAGAAGGGAAATGGAGGACAAGTGGCGTTCAATTTGACAAAATTTTCATATAATCCAATCCAACTAGGGCATAACACCGTTTTATGAATATCCAACAGGAGCTTTATAAGGCACTTAGTTGTAGGAAAGGCCTTCAATATTTGAGCTATTCAGCAACAGTCATTGATATCTATCTTCTTCAATCCATAAAATTAAGTTGAATGCTATACAATATGAGAAATTATAAATCCACATACTGGATGTCATTTTGTTCACATCTTCAATGATTTCAGCAATATATTTACAGGGGCAAAGCAACTAGTTAACAAGATTGCCATAAATTTTCTTTTTTGTCTATGATATGTAAGATTAATACTCACAAAAATTGAACCTATCACTCATGTTCGAGAGGACTTGAGAAAAATGATTGAACAGAGTTAAAGGCAAAGAGAAATCTTTAGCCATCTTGGGCACTGAGTGAAAGTCCTGCTACTTATACAAGGATAAGGATGAGATATACGAAGAATAGGAGCATAATTCCTAAGGATATGCCTGCCTTTGGTGCTTTGCCTCCCTCAATAAATGAGAAGAGGAAGAATTACAGTTAGGTCCATAGTGGAAGATACAACTAGTTTCACCTGAGTTGAGTAAGCTTAATCTAGCACAGACTTTTAAAGAAAAAAAGTTGGACTAGGGTGACCTTTAGAAAAACTAGACCAAGTTATGGTTGATCTACCTAGCATCTCTGAACACTGAGAAATTTGACTCCCTTTCACTACACTACTTTACTTTCATTTGGGTAGAGTAAATAAAATTATGCTCTGAACCAATTTATAACCTGAGCAGTTTGTTAACGTTCACTCAAACCCCTCTCAAACACCCCCAATATTCTATTCCAAACGCAAATGACCACAGGACATCATATTTTTCTCATTTTTTCACTTCTTTTTTTTGCAGGTGTAAGAAGCAAGATGTAATTTCCAAGTAAAACAACCAAAGCTGAGTATTGTGCCTTGTCTTTTGCCTTTGACAGATTCTCTGGATTCACTTGCTTGTCTCTGATTTAGGTTTCTCTCCATCACCACATATGTCTATCCATGAGGATAATAGCAATGAGATCAGGATTGCCACCAATCCTGTAGTTCATGAATAGACAAGCATATTGAAGCTGATTTTCCTGGAGAAATCTGCTCATGGCCTTCTGAGTCTCCCTTATATTTCTTCTGAAGATCAATTCTATTCTTTTAAAGATCAACTTGCTGAGTTATTTACCAAAGCTCTAACTAACTGGTGACATGATTATCTTGTGAGCAAGCTCTCGCTCATTTCTACTGATGCACCAATCTCATGGAGGGTGTTTGAGATGTATATTAGTCTGTAATTTGTTGATTAGTTTGAGGCCAGTTTTGTCATATTATAGTACAGTTTTATTGATGTACCTTGTACAACCAAGCCATCTGTATGTATGAAATTAATTTTTAATTCTAATCAATGAGAATTTGTTCAAGTTTTTTTGTTTCTAACAATAATATCAATTTTTCTCAAAGGAATATATGATTGAATGTCAGCAGATAATAACACTGTGGAGAGGTCTACTTTGGAAGTTCTTAATGGATAAATGACTTTTAGAGTGTCAAGAATCTAAAATCTTCCAACGAGTTTATCTGGTGCTTAGGGATGTGAAGAGAGTTGGTTTTCTTGGCCCACAGTAGTAGAATTGGAGAGATGCAGGATAAAATAAAGGTAAGAATGAGAATTCCATGAAGTGTAGCGCAAGTTGGAGAAGTCAATCGAGATAACTCCATAATACAAAATGCAGCCAGTATATCACATTTACGAGAAAGAACCTCTATTTTCTGGTGAATTGGTACAAAATTAGGAGCACGGACCAGGAAGATCCAAGACAGATATAGCAACAACCTGTCGATCTCATTGGTCAATTGAACAAGGCGAAATCTTTCTTG